TAACATTGATTTCAACACAGAACTATTGTGCTATTTGCATCAAAGCAGCCGAAGGCTGAGTCATGGAGAGGTGGAGAAAAGAGGGGACAGCATTCTCAGGACTGTCAGGCCTTGTACCCTGGGTTGGGGTGGAAGAACTCAGCAGAGGTGCAGCCTGGCTGGAGTGGGGGACGGCCCCGGCCCTGACAGCGCAGGGGAATTGAGCGCTTCCTTTCCCGTGGTCTCGAGCACTGTGTCGTCAGCACTGAGGCTGTTGTCCCGGGTCAGGGTCATCATCGGCCTCCTGCACCTACTGGAGCCCAGGGAAGCTCTGGGAGGCTGAGCTGCTGACTGGGGCCGGGACCTGCCCTGGGATTCGGAGTAGGCTCAGCCCAGGAGAGCAGATGTTGAGGCATTTCCCGCTGTCCTGGCAGCAGGACCCCGGTTATCCCCGATGTTGCCGGTGTTCCCTGCGGGCGGAGACTCTGCCTCCTGGAGGCTCAATGCTGAGGACCGCTGGGTCAGCACAGGCTGAGACCTGACTTCTGGAGGGACAGAGAAGCTGGAAACTGCAGAGTCCAGGACAGTGTGTGCTCAGAGGGGAGAGAGGGGTGTGTGGGAGTGAGAGAGGGAGAGAGGAATGAGCATGCCCCTGTGGCCTCAGGGAGCCGTTCCCTCCAAGGCAGGTGTGAGTGGCCTCCGTTCCTCCCAGCACCTCCCCACACCCAGAGGGCAGCTCTCCATGCAAATCCAGCTCTGAGCTGGTTCTTCTCCGCGAGACCTGTCTCGGAGCAGTTTATGTTTTTGGTGGGGAGGAGGAATGCAGAGCAGATGAGCCAAATGTTCACAACTCCCCCTCCTCAGAGTGCCAGGCCCGGCAGAGTGCCAGAGACCATCCACTGCCTTCCCTGCAGGTCTGCGCTGCAGGCGCAAGACCCACAGCTGTGGGGACTTCAGGTCTCAGGAAGCCCAGGGCAGCGGAGACCTCACAGACCCACCTTCCTGCTCCCCACACCGTGGCCATGCCCACCATGCCCTGCCATCACCAGCTGTCTCTCAGCAGGTGACCAGGAGAGATTCTCTACTTTTATATTGTAAAAGGGCTCATGCAAGGGACTTCAGGGGCCTGTGCCAAATGGTTTGTGTGACTGAGGTGCTGTCCTGGGAGTTCTAGGAAAACTAATTGTGGAGCTAAAACATAACCGCGCCCTGCAGCGAGAGATGCTGCCCAGCCTCCATCTGCTGCGACTTCACTTCTCACCTTGTGTAGGGCCTGAGGCAACTCCCAGGGAGGTTAGTTAATTGGAAAGGAGACAAAAAGAAAGAAAAAAGAAAAATAACAAAGAAGAAATGCATCAACAGCCTCCATTTGCAAACACTCTTGGGCTGGAGGAACACAGCATTTGTAGGAAATCAGCAAGAATTTCCTGTCTTATTAGATTGGCCAAGGTGTGGAGCAGAGTGCCTGGCCTTGGGGCTGGGAGGAGGAGTCAGGCTGTGCAGGGCCGTGTGCTGCTCTGATGTCCGGAGATCGTCCTCCCTGGAGAGGAGTCCCTGGAGAAGGGAACCCACAGCAGGAACAGGGGCGCGTGGAGCTGGGTTAAGACCTGAGAGCTCCTAGGAGAGAGCGAGAGGCCTGAGGAAGGCAGTGGCCATGGAGAGAAGAGGAGGGCGAGTCCGGGGGCTGTTTGCAGTGAGGGTGGTTAGTGGCCGTGTCCCCCTCACGTGTCGTCTGGCTGGGACAGAGGAGAGCATGTCCATGTGCAGGGTGAGTGCCGACATGTCAGCCCTGGACGCATCACTGGACACGCCAGGCTCCCTGTGCGGAATCAGATGCTGAAGTGCATTGCGGATGGATGTGGCTGTACTGACCGGCATTTCCAGGCAAAGAAAACAGTTCTGACTCCTACTAATTTAGTCCAGATCCTAGGGGGCTGGGCACTGGGCTGTGTTGCCTCATCTGTCTGTGCGTTCCTGAGATGCCGAGGCTGCCTTGTGCCTGTTTGCCTGTCTCTCTCCTGCTCGTGGGCATGTCTCACTAAGAGGCAGGTGACCCCTCAGGGGCTCCGCAGAAGCTTCTCAGTGGAAAGACACCCACAGCCAAGGTCTCTGGACCTGTAACAGGATCGACCACGAGAAACAGCCCCCGAACACCGAATGGGAAAGGGAAGCGTTTTTATTACAGCCAGGAGCTGAGGAGTGATCGGTCCAAATTCAGCTCATCTGACAAAGGAAGTTTCTGCCTTTACGTAGGCTTATACTTTAGATATTACACATGGAAGAATCTTAGGTTTATAGTTTTAGGACTCACACATGAAAATGTCTCTGTCTACAGTTTCAGGAATCACATATGAAAGGGTTGCGGTTTATAGTTTTAGGACTCACATGTGAAAATGTCTCTGTCTACAGTTTCAGGAATTACATATGAAAGGGTTCCAGTTTTCAGTTTTAGGACTCACACGTGAAAAGGTTTTGGGTTTGATCTTGTTTTAAGTAAAAATAGTGCCTTCAGGAGAGTTTCCCCAAGACCCAGCCTGCCACCTACAGGAAGGTGAAACAGGAGGTGCCAGTCAGCCAGCCTTTTCTTCTGTTGCGCTACAGTGTGATAGCCAATTGGAAGTTGATCTGAGATGCCTGGGTCTCCGTCTTCAGGGTCAGGGGTTTCGTCTTACACGCTTTTTATCTGAACACGGCGAGGAGCTAAAGCAGCTTCTGCCACCAAGAGCAGTAGCGCAGTGAAAATCAAACTCAGCAGGAGCCCCGGTGCGCGCCTGCGTCTGGGTCGGATCTCAGGAGAAAGCAGGGATGTGTCCCAGCTTGTCATATAGTCACAAGCACGGAAACCACTTCTCAGGGTGCAGCTGAGCAGATGGTCCCGGGGACGCACAGGTGGGGAGTGGCCGAGTCAGCACAGGCTGGGAGACGGAGCCTGCAGGTGGAGACGGGTGAGTGTGGGCACTAGTCTCAGGCTCACGGGGTCTGAGGCGCAGGAGCTGACACAAGCTAGGAATTGAAACCTGGTCTCCAAGGCCTGCCCGACATGTGTAGTGAGCCAGGAGCACGAGGAGAGGAGCCCAGCCCCGTGTGGACTCAGCCCCTGACCCCACCATGGAACGGGAATGCCCAGGCCTCCTTTCCTTCCACCCTCTCCAGAGGAGGGGCTGCTTCTGCAGATGTGTTTCCATCTGGGACTGCTCAGCCCTCCCTGAGCCCCAGGGCTGGACCTGGGCTCACGCTGCAGACCCAGGAGGGGGAAGGTTTGCTTTAACCACTGGGGGAGCCCAGAGAGGACGCACCTGCTGAGACCATGCAAAGGTCCCTGCTCAGGGACTCTGCTGGGCCAGAGAGGACCTGGCTGCTGAGTCCCCCCATCAGTGAGCCCAGGGCCTAGCCAGAGGCCCTGGCTCCGTGGAGTGAATGATCTTTACGGAATAACTGTGTAGGGACCACAGCGCTATCCCTTGTGCCTCTCCTGGTCACAGACCACACACTCCACCACGGTCCAGAGACCTGAGGGCCCCGCTGGTCTCTGCCATTCACCAGTCACTGTTCACACATCCAGGGTTCCACTCCCACGTGTGGGCCTGAGGGTTCTTCTCTCTCTCATCACACACCACATCCGACCATGGCAAGACAGCCCTCCCCACCCTCCCCACCTGTCCCCATCTTCACCCTTACGGGACAGGGGCCCATCAACAAAAATGCACAGGGACATTATTCAAGAGATCGTTTTTAAGAAAAGAAAGACCCGCTTCTCTTGTGACTCGTCCGCCCTGAGGAAGACGGGAAAGGACCCCATCCTCCCAGCAGGCAGCCAGAGCCACAGCCCTGAGAGGCACAGGGTGGCTGGGGGCCCCCACACCAGGTGGGTGTGCACGTCAGAGTGGGATTGGGGCTCTGGAGAAATGCGGAAGGCTTGGAGTTGCCTAGAGAAATAAGGACCAGGATCAGGAAGTCCCCAGACATCCTATCGCAGCCTGAGACTCAGTTCAGTCATATTTACTAAATATAATTTACAATAATTCACCTAAAGTTCTTAACAGTGTATTCTACCACCCATAATTAAAGATTCTGGACGTTATTTTTAAGGCTTGTTTTAGTTCTTGGTGACAATCTGGTCCCTTTCCTGCTCTCTTGCGTCTGGGGCAAGGAATCAAGATGCCAAAGATGACCTCATTCTTCTTCTTCTTTTTTTTTGCCTGGCAATAAATATTTTAATTTTTGCTTCATTTTTATGATGACAAATAATTTTCAAGTTTATTTCCTTTTCTGTTTAAATACAAAGTGAAACCACAAACAGGTACAATCAAGACATTGTATCTCACATTTACACTCCTGTGGGATCCTTGTCCAATTCACTGACCAGGCTAGTGGGGGTCGGGGGGGAGAAGACTTTCTTAGGTAGCACCGTCGTGAGGCCTGGGGTGGGGGTGGGGGGAATCAAAGATGAGGACAGGCTCTCATACCTGTCTCCATTCACATTTACCTGGGACCAGGTGGGCAGGAGGCACCAGGTCATGGCTCCTGAGCCCCGGCCTCCTGGACTAGGAACAGTGAGTGAGAATCAGTTCTGTGAAGGGGGGGAGGAGGCAGCCACTTATTCCTCCT